ACCTCCAGACGGGTGAGACCACCACATTCGACCTCAGCTTTCCCGCCAATATATTTTCTGCCACTTTATACGCCGCCACTCCACACATCCCTTCCAAAAGATGTTGGTTTCTGAGCTGTGTAGTGTGACATTTAATCGCTGGCAATTTGATCGCACTGGGTCATCATCACCGGTCACATAGTGTTTGCTTGCTGAGAATAGGTTGACACGAAGAGNAGAAGAAGTGTACAAGCAAAATACATCCGCCTGTCAGGTGAATTTAGAGAAATCATCAATCAGAGCAAGTGTAACCACCACCAACCCACCCACCCATGAGTCGAACTTGAATTCGCACACGCTCGAATCTGAATTGTCGGACATTAATTTGAACAATTACGTGCGTGTGTATGTGTGAGTGTGTGAGGGTTAACGTGCGCGCGCGTGTGTGCACACACCAACGCACACGTAAGAACGCCTGGATCGCAGAAACGCGAACACATTCACCCATGAACACGGTAGAACACCAAACCGATCTCCGTGTTACCTCGATTTTGCAACTGGTTTTTAGTCAAGTCGTGAAAGATTGCTATATGAGCTGGGGACTAGTGGGTAGAGTGTTTTCATATGAGGACTGCGTTCTGAGAAGCCGATCTACCCCATTTCCGGTTTCTCCCTTGGGAGAATTCCCTGCTGGAGTGCAATTATCGAGGAGGAAACATCTTGTGGCAATTGACAACCCCGAATGACATAGACCTTGTGAATAACAGAGAATGATGAGGGTTTTACGTGTAAGAATATACTCTTTTTGTCGGTTAAAAGGAAACGGGAGAAAAAATCAAATCAACCAGGAAAAATCAAGATACACAAGGTTGAAATTGGCCCCTCACTAGTTACTGCCAAGTAAGCTCCGTCATGATTCGCAAAGAATGTTCCCAATTTTCGATCTGATACAGATGATTGAGTGCAAGTTAGAGGTCTCCAGTGAACCCGATCCTTGGGACCGACAAGCCTATACTCAGAAATTGTCAAGGTATTGTCGATCTGGCGTACAGATAACGTAAGATGCTTCATTTGAAAGCTTTCGCTGGTTGGTGAATGAAGTCCTCTACTGGTCGAACAAAGTAATATATAAGTTTAAGACTAGTGTAATTGATTGAGCCCATTTGAATCAGTAGGTTTTGAATGACAATCATCTCGTTGTGAGTAGATATCACTCCAGGAGAGTTCTATGCTTCCCCAAAAGTAGAATGCATGCATAATGTTTCGCCAATTAGTGGATGAACATTCGTGAAATTTCACTCAAAAATGGGTGGACAGCAACCAACCGAAAGGCAGTCAGCTGAATTTTATTTAAAAGATCCACAAAATATGCAAACAATGTCCAGCAAACAGGTTGATCACCGAAATGTAACTGAACATAATAGGAAATCTGACACGCATCTAAGAATATTTCGAGGACTGGGAGACTTGAGAGAAACTCCGTTTATAACTCTGCCGTTTACCACTGAACGATATCGTATGACCTCAGAAACATGATCTACCCAGGGCAAAACTTCTTGTCATATAAAAAATTGCTCATTGAGTCAATCTTCATTAACGGTGAACCCAACTGAGTGATCGGAAAGAACGGAACTGAATTATCAGTCGTGTATGTGGGAGTTCACTCACCCACATACACNTCTTACTTGACAATAGTTTACTACTCACTGACCCAGTCTGAACCTAAAGCGGTAGGTTTACGGTGTTTCATAATCACACCAGTCAAGCACAATCCATACCACTAACGACAGATGCGTTTAATCTGCGACGACACTCAACCTTGATTGTCCTCCTACCCACTTGTTCATCCTTCGTCATGATCTTGCTATCTCACCAAGCCCACAGGCACACACACAGTGGTTTTCTTACCGCTCGACTAATCACAAACCGTAACCGTTCTACACGGTTTGTTCAGATTTTTTTAATAACTGCTTACCAGTTGATCTAAAAAGATGACTTAGAAAAAGGTCAGGAGAACTTTGTCTCTCAAAACTTTCGTCTTTCTTTTGTAACCAACCCCAACATACCCTTTCGGAGCTGTATTAGACGTTTCCGGGGAAACCATTTATATTAGCGGTTCACAAAAAAAATAAATGGATAAAAGGAAACATCCCTGCCGGTGTAAACATTTGTACTCATGGACACTTCGCTGACATTCCTTTACCAGTTGTGACAGTTGTGACATGTAACCAGTTAACTTGGTGTGAGATGTCCAGA